TGTGTGTGTGTGTGTGTGTGTGTGTGTGTGTGTGTGTGTGTGTGTGTTGGGGGAATCTGCCTGTAGATATCTAGGGATACCATGATGGTCTCTACTTGGTAAATACTCAGGACACTGAGCTGAGCTCGCCTTCGATCTCCCCCTCAATCTGATATTAGACCACAAGAGTTTCAGACCAGTGAATGTCCTCTCTTCACACAAACATACTCACAGGCACACGCGCATGCACACACACGCGCATGCACACAGATTTGGTGAGGAAGAGGAGAAGGGAGTCTCTGCTCCAGAATCTAGGAGAGAAGCTGAGACACTGTCATTGTTTCCCCACCTCAGGGGCAGGCGCCTTCCTTTCTCCTGGGGCCCTTGGCCCAGCCAGGCCCCAGCTGGGCTCTGGCGCCGACTCATCATCTGCTGAAGGGGTCTGTATTTCCCAGGTCCTCAGGTGGGCAGAGACCCCCAGGGATCTCAAATGGTATGATCAGGCCCTGAATCCTCCAAGGGGGCCCTGAGCCCAGCTGAGAGAACCAGAAGGAGGGGGCAGAGAAAGGTTGCAACCTGAAGACAGCCTGGAGGGTGCAGCCCTCCAGATCCTTCCTGGCAGGTCAGGCCATTGCGGGGGAAGAGAATTAGCTGTGAGGGACATGGGTTCGAATCCTCACCACCTGATCCAAGCATGCTTTTGTCTCCCTTGGTCTCATCTGTTGTGTGGGCCAGTTAATACTGATTCCCGCCTGGGAAGGAGACAGCACACAGGTCTCGAGGTTCAACAGGTAGCCGTCCACACTGGCAGGAACCGGCACAGCTTGTTCCTGTCCACGCGATCCTCCAGTGTACTTCACTGAAACTTCACAACCACCCCAGGGGTACACCTGGGTCTGCATTAGGCATGGCTGAGGCAATGGGAAATAAGGAAGGCAGAGGGCCTAGCCTAAGGACCACAGGAAAGTTTGAGACAGGGTCAGGACTGAGTGGGCTGGCCCTCAACTGTAGCCTGGTTGAGAGGCTGAGCAGGCTTGTGTGAGAATAATAGGGCAGTGTCTTGGGCCCTGCATGGCCTGCTGCCGGCTTCAGCAGCCCCCACTGACCTTTCTCTTGTCCTGCCTAAGCAGCCAATTGGTCCAGCTCCATTTAACCCTGAGCAATTATGCCTCTTGTGGCTCTTTAGTAGGGCTGTGGGCTCAGCTGCTCTTTTTAGCTCTGTACTCCAAGCCGTGGCACCTAAGCCCTTTCAGCCTTTGTTTGTTCTTCTAGATGTCTTTTTTAGCCCCTGATAGGATGGTTCTAAGACTCAGATGTGTGTGTGTCCTGTTTCTACTGTGAGCTTCCAGGGTGTGTAAGTGGCGCACACCAGCACTTTGGTGTTCTCATCACTCAGCCCAGAGTAGGTGTTCAACAGTGTCTTACTTGATGATGATGATGATGATGATGATTATTATTATTATTATTATTACTGGGCACATTTCTCCTGGAGAACAGAGTAGTGGTGAATGCACCACGCTAAGGATTTTCTGTGTACGGGTGTGTGTTCTCTCATAATCACGTGAGCAGGCTACTGTTGCCGCTGCCTCCAGATGAGGAAACCAAGGCCTAGAGCGGCTGGTAGTGGAGCTGATGTGAACCCAGAAAGTCTGGTTCCAGCTCTGCCACCAAAAGGGCAAGCCCTGTCAGACTGGGGAGCACTCTTGGAAGGGTAAGAGTGTGTATACATGAAAGATGGGAGCGTCTGTTGGAAGTTGATTTAAATGAGTATGTGCTGGGTGGTTTTTCTGGTTATGGGAGTCTTCCATCTGGTCCCTAGTGGTATGTCTGGATGTGGGATAGAGCGAGGACTTTCTACTTTACCTGTTTGGGTACCATTTGGCTTCTTATTTTTAGATGTATGTAAGTTACTGAGTTACTTGCAGCATAACGAAAAGATATTTTTAACTGATCCATGTTCTTCATAAAGAAAGCTCTAGGGAAGAAATTTTAGAGCATTACACAATGGATCCATTGGGCCTGGATGTGTGGGCTGAAGGGGTGGAACAGGGGACAG